CGTTCTCGCCGGGAGCGAGGATGCTCTACTGTAATATTGTTAATTATAGAAGGCGGGCGCACGCGAGCGCGGCCCACGGACGGGCCCCCTGCGGGTCGATTGTGTATCTTCAGATGCAGTGAGGAGTTACCTAAGTGAGCTCTCGGCTATGATAATGACTGCGGAACAAAGCGATCGGCGAGTGGTCGATGATCGGTCTGTACCGTTAGATCCCGAAATTTAGATCAGTTACGTCGACTCAACTGTTGTGTGACTGTTGCATTTTCTGAACGCGACCAATGCGACATATCTCACGTGAGGTCGCTCGATAAGTCATTTCCGCATTCAACGGAGAATGTAGCTCGGGTGAGCGCTTAACGATTATTGCTTCTGATTGGTACATTCTCCCGAATCTATCAAGAATCTGAAAGGACACTCCGGTCACAAGCAATAATCAACAAGCGCTCAACGAGTGTTCTTTCTCTCGAACCCAGCCGTTCTCTCACTTGGCGCGTGGCCGATCGCGTGTACTTATTCAGGTCTGTTCCTTCCCGCTGAACTAGTACACACTTTTGGAACTTGAAAAGAAACAGACCTAAGGTCTGTTTTCTGTTTCCGAATCGGGACTGGAACTTCGTTCCTTTTCCCTTCAACGCTTAGTTATAATATACTTGTCTCAATCTAAAAAGTGCAATCTAGTTCGGGAATAGAGAAATCAGTTAAGACTTGGCGGAGGAAAGAGAAGAAGGGAAGCTGGTGCAGCCGGTTCAGCGGGAAAAAGAGCAGACCTTACGAGATACAGAAGAGTAGAGGGTGGGGGGATACACGATCGAGCCGCAGGCTCCGTTGGTGCAACGTCGAGCGGTGCACTTCCGCGCTCATCGTCACGCCGTTCTTCAGCGGCAGATCCTCGAGTTCCCCGCGATTCGACCGGGCGGACTTCGGCCGTTCACGGTCCGTTGGCTCGTGCCCATAGAAAAAAAAAAGAAGATATACGGGTGTTCCTCATAATAATATAGAGTCTGTTTTCTGTTCCTGAGCTAGGGCTGCGCTGGAACGTCGTTCCTTTTCCCTCCGACTCTAAGTCACGTACTTGTCTCACTTTAACGGTGCAAGGAGCTACTTCAGGAGCAGGAAAAACAGATCTCAGTACGGTCAGCCGGTCAGGCGACGACGAGCGCAAGCCGTTTAGTCGCGTGACGTCTGTTTTTTCTCTGTATCTCTCTTCCGAGCTGTGTTTCTCTCGCGTCGCTTCACAAAGACAGACGTTCCTTCGCTCGAGTAGAGGAGAGAGAGAGAGAGAGAGAGAGACCGCGCCGGCGGTCTTGTAAATAGCGTCTTGTAAGTGACAAATAGTACGCTTCCCTAGAGAGTACGTATTAAACATAGTTACCTCCTGGAGCACACGAGCGAGTGCTGGTGGACTCGAGCCGACGGACACGCGATCGCGCGAAACACTCGCGAATAATTCTCAGGATCTTGTTGTTAACGCACGCACTTCGCGGATGCTCGAATATTACTCGGTTTTTTCTGGTCTTTTCTTTTGACGTTCATCTCGAGAGAGAAAGAGAGAGAGAGAGAGAGAGAGAGAGAGAGAGAGAGAGAGAGAGAGAGAGAAAGAAAGAATGCATGTTTACGAGAGAGTGAGAGAGAGGGAGTGAAAGAGTTTTCGGAGCGGACGACCCGCGGAAATTCGATTTCGTCGCGAACGAAGGAATAAACGGGTGTCTCTCAGAAGCGTTTTTCGCAGAACGCGTTTCCTTTGCGGTCCAGGCTGATTTTCTAATTTCGTAACGACAGTGTCATTGTGTAACACGGAAAAGCCGCCCAATGATACTATCGTTAAAAGTTGGAGAATCGGCTCACTGGTCGAGAATCCCCATACAGCACAGGGATTTGCAGCGACATTGCTACAACGTTACAAAAATGTTGCAATGCAGCTGCAAGCTCGCAATAGCCGCACGATAGAATCATCGTCGCCGCGTGTCGCCTGTATCGAGCTCCAGTTTCAATTACTTCGTGATAAATGCGAGAGAATTAGAAGGCGAAAGCTCCGCTCGCTGCTTTCGGCGACAACGCGCGTTAAAACGGACGTCAATGATCGCGCGTAGTTCTACACACACACACACACACGCACGCACGCACACACACACACAGAAACACGATGATTGTTTTCTTTTTTCCACGTAGACACGCTATCGATTATCGTGCGTTGCTCGATCGGTTACTCGGCGGGCCGGGTATCTCCGATCGCGGTAACAGCGACCGTGCGATTTACACTATGTTACTCTCGTCGTTTTGGGTAAAAAAAAAAGAAAAAGAAAGAAAAGATAAAAAAGGAGAGCGAACTCCGACCGCGCGCGCGCGCGTGTATTTGATTTCGATTCGTCGCGATTGAAACGGGATTCCGCGCGGAACGGCGATCCTCCCCGAAAAATCGGGCGTAGACGATAGGGATGAAGGGACGACAGGAGGAGGAGAAGGTGAAGGAAAGAAAATCGCGAGGATCGCGAGAGCACTCGTAGGTTTACTCGAGGCAGTCGATCGACCTCTTTCCAGTTATGTACTCTCGACTTGGCGCACCAATGTACATGTACATATATACCTTGCCCACGTCTATATATGTATATGTATAGATGTACATAGGTATATATATATCTAGCGATTTAATAGCGGCTTCGATCCGAGAAAAAATCGAGATTTAATAATAATAATGATATAAATAATAATTATATTAATAATATTAATAATAATAATAATAATAATAATAATAATTTATTACTCTAGTTCCGAATCGGCCGGGGCCGCTGTTCCGCGCAGGCTCGCCGGTCGGCAGTTGTCGGCGAGCTTGTCGCGCAACACCGCCCTACGGCCGCTGTTATTAAGAATGAGGTACGAGAGAAAGAGAATAGCTGTTGTAGGGGCTGTAAGAAAGCTTATTAGAGAGAGACGAGCGACAAGAGGCGAACGGCCAGAACATTTAACGCTGTAATGTGCCGGACGCGTAGTAGTAATGATACCCGCTGTGCGATTACTTAAGGAAAAAAGAAAAGATAAGGAAAGAAAAAAAAACCAAAAAAAAGAAGAAGAAGAGAGAGAGAGAGAGAGAGAAAAAGTCATTCGTTCGTAACTCGGACTCGTTGTTATCGTTGTACCAAGGGGGTGTACGGCGAGGGATCGTCTCGTGCGGCAGAATCGCCGGTTGCAAAACTTATAATACTGTAAGCGAGTAAAAACACATTATTTATTGCGGTTAAAGTGTGGTGAATTTTAGGGAAGAATACGCAAATTACGTTACGCCCGGTGAGACGGAGTTAATAAAAGAGAAAAGGAACGAAAAAAGGAAAAAAAAATAATAAGGGATTTGTTTCTCACGACGTGCAATTGATTAACCAAGTGTGAAAAAGCGACACTTATTATTATAATAATGTGGACATTCGAAAGGATAATAGATAATGGAAGAATTATACTGTGGATTTTGAATTTGCGAAAGTTTAATTAAACGTTAAATAAATAAAATACACGATTATTCACAGCTGTCGAGCGAGTGTGGATCGACTCTGCTGTTTCTTTCATCTCTTTTCTTTCAGTTCGCCCGTTCTCGATCGACATCTCACGAACGGTAGTCGCGCTTACCATTGTCATTTTCAATTGTGTACATGCGTATGTATGTGTGTGTGTGTGTGTGTCCCTTTTTTTAAATTATTCCCTCACGATAGAAGCGCGCGAAAAATCAAATTCGTTTCCGAAATGCACCAGTCCTTTTTTCACGGCTCGACTTTCGGCGATCTAAGTAGGTGATGCGCGAGAAACATTTCTCCTCATCTCGAATCGACGATTACCCAAAACAACATTGTTGTACGCGATACGTTATATGTACATAAATATATATGGATGTATGTTATATATATATGCATATATATGTATGGATATATAAATATTGATATAAATATGAATATAAATAATATAAATACAGAGACAAATGCAACTATAAATATAAATATACACATAAATATATATAAATATAATTATAAAGTCGATATAAATAAAAGTTATCCCCCGTTATAATAAATGCGGTGAAATATTTCTCATTCTTGTGCGATCTCTCTCTCTCTCTCTCTCTCTCTCTCTCTTTCTCTCTCAACACGTATCTTTTTCCATTTAATAAATATTCTATTACTACCAAATCGATCATAATGTATGCCGTATTCCGCTTAATTTCAGAAACATTTCACAGCATTCATTAAAATGGGCTGTTTTGTACACACAGTGTGTCCCAGAACGCGCCTCCCAATTCAGAGACATTACTCGCGCAGTGACTTGTCGTTGAGAATTGAGAAATTTCGGCGAATTCAGCTTCGTGAGAATGTACATACGCAATGACAAGAAGGGAAAGAGAGAGAGAGAGAAAGAGAAAGGGAAACGAAGAAATCTAATCGTTCACATTAAACGTCCAATGAATCTCGACATTTGTGTAAGAGCTCAAAATTGCTTAATCGCGTAACTCGGAAAGACCAAGGCGGCCAGTCAGCGTGAAAGAAATCGACTGCTTCCCAATGCGAGCGAACGCGGCTTCCGGGGCACCCTGTGTGTGCTCATGTACATGCGCGCATGGCGTTATAAATAACGTAGCTTTAACATATTTAAGGGATCGATAATCCGATGGTTGAGAGGTGCTTAAGTACTTGCCGAATAGACATATATATATAATTGCCCTCACGTTGATCGTTGATAGATCGCGACTTAGAGCGATCCTCGCGAGGCGATCGACGCGATCGTGCCGAACGACTCAAGATTCGAGGATCCAAGAGTTCAATTTACACAGTAGAGAGAGAGAAATGGTCACGATACGTTGACTACCGCGTCGTTGACATTATCCCCATGTAGAATAGAAAATAACGATGACGTCAAAATGACGAGAAAATCATATTACAACAATGATACCAGTCATTATTTTTCCCTCATTTTCGCATTATTGTCATCTTCCGTTCTACTTGGGTCGCGATCTCTGGTGCTACTTACGAGTTCGTCTCGTTTCTCCAGGGAGATCGCGGTGCCTGGATCCGCGATCCCCCGCCCATCGTTTCGAAGCCGACGAAACGACGCGCGCGTTCCATGTTCCCGCACGGCACCAACGTGTCAACGGCACGCGCTGACGTCTCCCAGGTAGGACAGAAAATTAGGATGACGTCAAAATGACGAAGAAATGGCTGTAATAACTTGCTTTTCGATCACTTCTCGTCATTTTTGTGTCATTTCGACGTTATTGCGGTTTTCCCCGTTCTTCCTGACGCCGAGTACGTTCAGAAGATACGACGGTTGCGCAACCGTTGAGCGGCTTTAGATTGAGATATTCCTTCAGATCCACGGTAAATCCGAAGGAATAGACCAGTGATCGCTCGCTCGACCGTTGTGTTTCCCGAATGCAGTCGTTGACGCGGTGACGCCCGTCCGCGGGCTCGCTTCAGCGTAGCTTAAGGTTCTCAATTTGTAATCGACGAGCGGGTAACAAAGACTATGTTTACAACCTCAAACCAATTTATGCCCGTTTCTACCATCAAAGATATAGCGCGCAAGCTGTGCTTGCAACGCGACGTCGAGGAACGAGCGTTAATGAACGGTGCGATTAAGTCGATACCTGGCGAGGCCACTCTCGTATTCCCGAAAGTACAAAGGTGCTCTCGCCCGGCAGAGGAGATTTCAAGAAAGTATCGTTTCTCGTCAGCAAGAGCTACCGCGGTAATTTATCGAAAGCTTCTTTGTATTCCCGTTATTCCATTCGGTTCCCGCGCGAAAAATATCAGCCGCGATCCCTTTTTCGGAATGTGAAATTTCTAGAATCAACAGGGAGCATCCTTTTTTTTTATCCTAAATTGCCGAGCGAGTAAGACGGAATTCAGACGTTTCGAGAGCCGAACATTGGATGATCGATGTTAACGATGGAAACGAAACTTCCGGTTCTTCTTTGACGGAACGATCACACACTCGCACCTGCATGTTCGCTTCAGATCCTTTCGCAGCGAGCTTGACAGATCAGACATACCTTGCTTTACATCGACGATTTCCTTGGTTTACTTACAATCGATCAGTGTGTCCGACTTAATCGCGACGTACGTCGCTGTGACGAGCGCAAGGAGGATCGACGTTATTTTATAATAATGCGAGAGTGACTGCTGCACGTAAAAAAAAAAAAAACGATCTCGCGTCGGTGGCCGTGCGAAGACGCGATCTGCCGAATCCTCAAGCGCGCGCGTTAAATCACGTTTCCACGCCGCGAAAGATAGAGAAAGATAGAAAGAAAGGAAAGCGGAAAGAAAGAGGGAGAGAGAGAGAGAGATAGAGAAAATACTACTACTACTCGTCGCTCGACGATGTCATCGCTGGCGAAACCGGACATCCGGTCGTCTCGGCCGACAATGACGATATTAAGATATAATAATATACATTGACGGACTCTTGTAACTACACACACACATATATACATACATATATACATACATGACATGCTAGAAAACGATTCTAACTATTATCTTGTAAGAGTTACTTAGGACCTCTGTACAAACTATGAAAGGTCCGTTAAAAAAAGAAAAAAAGATTAATAAGAAAGAAAGGCAGGAAGAAAGAGGAAGAACAAATACTGTAAGAACAGAATATTTATAACTAAACTAAAAAGAGAAAGATATCTTTCACTACTTTCAGCACTTTCAACATAATCATTGTAATAGCCACTCTCTTTAAGGATCGTTAAAGAAAAAGAAAAAACCGATTTCGTTATCACAGCTCGAGCTTCGTGCGACTTCTTTCCCACCCCCTTCCCCAACCTCGTTTCACCCCCTTACGTCTTCATCGACCGGCAAATTGACTTCATGGAGGGATATTCATCACGGTCGCGAAGAGCTGCCCTATGAAACAGACTGAAGAGAGATCAGGATCGCCACGGAAAATAAATTTTGAAATTCCCTGATTTGTTAATATTTTTTACAGTGGAGAATTTCCCATGACCAATGTGTAATCTTAAATTTAACGTTTAGAAACAGGGATTGCAGGAAAGAGGTAGCTTATATTATTAGAAGCGACATAAAACTCAGAGGTTCAATAACACGCTATAATCCTGAATGCGGATTCAGACTGATAAAAAATAACTGAATATTAGAAAAAAAAAGGAATACAGTTATATGAAATGAGATACCGACAGACAAAAGACGATTAAAGTTTGGGTCTGCAAAAATATATTTGTACTTTCAGTGCCCTCATGAAGAAAGCGTCGCTTTCTTATTATCTAAGAAAGCCACATATCTGCCGCGATCGGCCGAGCTTATCCTCCGCCGCCAATCCTTTCAGGAGAGCTTGGTTCAGCTTGTGAGCGACGCTCTTTCCCACCTGTAAAGTCGAGCATTTCAAAAACTGGCTTCGATCTATATAACTCATCTCCGACAAATACACAGAAATGCGTTACCTCTAGCATCTTAATTAAGGTGGTAGGCTGCAGACTGGCGTATCCCATCTTGACTACGGACGTCATCTTGCCATTCGGCATCACGGACATGATGAGGCTGGCGGTGCTGCATGATTCCTCCTCCGACGTTGGATCCACCACGCAGTTGTCGCCGATCTGAAGGAGAACAAATCGAAATCATTAGTCCGGATCTACAAGAAGGTGTAGCAAGTCTATTGCTCTAAGTACTGAATTGTAACGTAATTTCTAGCGACAAGCGTTTCCAGCGCTACCAAATATCGCGAATCCTATTCACAACGATATTCGTAACGATTAACATCGCCGTGCCCACCTTGCACACCGTTATCACTATTGGATAATTCGTCACGTCCAGTTTGACGCAATCGTAAAGATCGTCCGACAGCTGAATGTCTGGTTCACCGCCGTCGAGCGTCGCCGCGATTACCCTCGGGATCTCGCTGTTGTACAACGCAGCCTTCACCGCGGCGCCTACCGCGTCGAATAGATTCCCGCCGCATTGTAGAATCTGCGGAGGACAGAGAAGGTGACATGACAGCCTCGGTGGTGCTTTGTCATCCGATAATACTCACCAAAATGTCCACGTACATTTTCCAACACTTCTTGTGAGGTAGTATGCACAACTGCCTCAGGTCGAAGGTTTCGGATGTTTGGTAAGCCAAGGACAGGAGATTGCTTATCTCGGTTGCAAGGTCTTCTCCTCCTTTGCCTTCAAACGCTGGTGTGGCATTGGCGGAGCTGGAAGAGACAGTGTAGACACACCGTGTTCCGCATCGATTGAAGATCCAAGCCTGGGATCCAGGATACGTACCAGTCCACGAAGAAGTCAAGTTTGCCTTCCTCGGGTTTGTCCGCGTGCGGGGTGTCGATCTCCACTTTCACGCCGACCAACACGTCCGTGTTGCCTATTCTCAATCGTGCCGATCCGTGTGCGTGCGGCATCAGTCTGGTTTCAATCTCTATGGAACGATATTCGTATCTCTGCCGTCCGTCGTTTCTGAAACCGGTCTGATCGCCGGCGTAATATAAATATATAAACAGAGAGTTAAAAGGACAAATATACATATATATTATCTCAAATAAATCGGTGACATTCTCCGAACGCACACACTTGCGAATGAAAATAATTGCACGTGCGCCGTAATCACGTACACACTTACGTCTATCCCGTGGAGAATAAACGTCTTCTCGCCTAAGCTCAGAGGAATCTCGGCCATCTCGAACAAGATAATCTCAAGCGCAGACAGAGAGGAAGAGTGTCGGTCTTAAATTAATAAATGTTATCGCGGATCACCGATCACGATTTATCACTGTATGACGCTAAACAAAGTGACATAACCTCACTTAAGAAGATACAGGCTGCGTTCCGAAATTTACCGCCAGTACTAAAAGTCTATAGTTTATGTTACGTATACTACAGATTTTCAGTAGAGGATGTAGCGATAGGAGCGTACCGATTGACCACCAATCACAGCTAACCATGATTTTCTAGTGTCGGCCAATCGGTGTAGCCCGTGGTTAGTCGGCTTCCACTACTTCGTCGTATTTTTTTGTGTATTCTGAAATTTGTAAAAAAGAACAGACTTCAAGTATCGAATATGAGGAGAATGATTGAAGTCATAGACCAGTTTTCCATGATTTTCCTAAGCAAAACACCTTTATCCTTAGAACGTATAAATAAACCAAGTAACTACCGTTTATGAATTTTTCCTGGTCGGTAATACGCAATGTCCCTGACGTGGTCAATTATATAAATTATCTCGCTAAAATGTATACTCACTGGGTTCCACAGAAAAGATAACATCGCATTTATTGTTAACAATGTCTGTGGACATTTGTACATTCGTTCTAGTGGTATAATTATTATGATATTATACTAATAAAAGATTTGTATATAAGGAACACGCATGAAGTGCATTCTTCAATTTATATGGGAGACTTGTCGAAGCCGTTCACATAGAACTGGTTACCCTTCACTTTATACAAAGCATTCAGATCCTTGTTATCAGGATACATAATGGTTCTAGTTACCATTATCTTCCATCCTGATTTCTTCATCCAATCCTGGAAGAATAAAATAATATACGCAGAGTAATCATGAACCATGTCAAATGCATTATTCAGCTCAGTGAAAATATCTTTTTCTATTGTGTCCAACATACCATTCTACCATACTTCAGATGATAATATATCCAATACAAAACAGCGGTACCCATTGCGCCCTTAGTTATAAAGTGCCGTATGAGAAAGGCGCCTTGTGGACTCTGCAAATAAACAGATATTACTTTTGTACTATTCCATACAGTACAAAAGCTAATGTTAAAACTGTTGCAACGTTGCAGCAATATTACTGCGAGCTTTCGTTCGCTATATAGAGTGCTATATTGTAGTGTTTATCAAATATTTCCTGATTTGTTGTCGAAATATTCTCTCTCTCTCTCTCTCTCTCTCTCAATTGACTTCGTTTCATTAATATACGCATATCATGAAATTTACTGAATTAAACTGAAAACTGCATTGACGGAACGATAATAAAATGGGGTGAAATTGAGAGAGAATTTCAGTAAAATTTTCAGCATAATATTTCCATCAGGATTCGTACCAGAACTGGCTCCATCATGTCCTGAAATCTGTTCCATGGCCACTTGTAAAATCTCCTGATCGGATTGTACATCTCTTTGTACAAACTCTCTGACCACACCGGTTCTTCAGGAGCCAATATTTGAGCCTTCAACCATTTCTTCCTCCATGCTCGTTCCTCGTCTGTCATTCCCAACATTCGTTCTCTCTCTCTTATCATACGCCGTGCTATACTCATGGGTCTCTCCCCTTCCATGGCAGGGTTTGTCACAGGTTCCGGTACTCTATAAAACAATGAATCAATTAGTTAATATCTTTGATATGACTGATTATGAATATACCGGTCTTATATCAACAAGAGTTGATACGATCAAATTATCTGTTGTTAGAGCCTGATATTATTCTAACTCCAACAACAATCTAATATATTGTTCTTTGTAACTATCGTCATGTATAGCGAGCTGTTATATCACATAGAACTTGACTTTCTGATTCTGAAGTGATAAAAAGGAAAGGAATCTATATACATAAAATATATAACAATATAACATCGTGTTATGGTGTTTGGTAATTTGTTTTCCTACAAAGAGCAAGTTTTTACTTTATTTCATGTCAAAACAACTGTCTAACGAAATCTACTGTGCGCCGTCTCCTGTCACGTATGTTACTTGTTTTAGGATTTATATATATTACAAAATATATAAGAGTGTACATAATGATGGAAATATCATACTTCGCCATGGTTCTACTGGTGATTACACGCTAGATCCAGCACTTCAAAGCCACCAATTTTCAAGTCGTACGTGAGGTTATATGTTATATCACACATCAAGCACTGTACATAAGATCAAGTACGTTTCGCGCCATCTCTCGTGGAAAACGATCTTCAAATATGCGATCTAGTTTGAATATCCGGAATACATATTGTTACGCTCGCGCGGGGAAATAAAACGAGACAACGTTAAGTGGGAAACAACACTTCGACTATATATTTGCTATTTACAAGAAAGCACGCGTAACTCGCAGACTCAAGCTCTCTCTCTCGCGAAAGACCGACGCGCACGTCGCGGCGATTCGACCGCCCCAGAGAGAATCTCTCAAACCCGTTGTTTGTCGGTCAACGCTGATCACCTATTGTTTACGACTCGTCAAGAGAATCAGCTGTACGTTCAGAGCGCTAAAAGCGCGGGCATCAAGACACGGGCGTAACAATATAAACACAAAAGAATGTAATAATACATAACACTATAATATTGCGATATATATCCGCAAGGAATACATGTAAAAATACTTAGAAATGAGGATACTGTCCTAAATCTACCACAATAAAGGAGTGTGCGATAAATAAATAAATAACATAAAAAATAGAACATAATTATTCGAAAGGGAACGTTAAAAGTATAAAATTTCCCGTTGGCATCGGGAACGACGAGGAATAAAATGAATTACCGCGTGGTCTCGTAGGTATATCATTTATTTATTTAATCGATTTTCTCTCTCGCAGTATATTCTTCTCATTCATATACTTCATCTTTCGTAAACCAATTACAAGTATCGTCATCTATTATCTAAGGGTATAGGTAAGTAAGTTACAGGTTCTTTTTTTTTTTCCACAGTATTGACTCTATATACTATCCAGATGACTAAAAGTCTGTATCTACAAATATATTACCTCATATCTCATATGTGTATACAGGGTGTCTCGCGATCGCCCTTTCTCCCAACGACGGATTGTGGGAGCGACTGAGAGAACTCTACGTCGAAACGAATCACAAAACGCAAATCACGCAACGGATTTAACGCACAACGACCCCCTTTCGTTTACAATGCGGCTTAAGATAATCGTGATTTTCGACGATGTTCGGTCGAGAAACCTTCTTGGAGACGCGCGGAGTCGAACGACAGAAATCGCCTGCCGCTTATTGTCCAGACGCGCCTCCTCAGCTCGTGCAGTATCTATTGTCAAAAGAAAGCAGACACCTTGCATACATATAATATATATGTATATATATGTATATATATATGTATATGTATATGTATATATGTATATGTATATATATACATATACATATACATATATTAGGGTGGAGATCGGAGAAGGCGGGACTTTTCATCAGGGATTCACCGACGAATTTGACGCTGATTTTTCCTCGGCAAAGACATCAATCGAGCTTAAATACGCGGTTACGTAAGACGAGGCAAATCTTCAATCTTACGAACTGAACGCGATGGTGTGCGTGCAGGGGGTAAGAGTAACAAAATTTCACTCTCTCTCTCTCTCTCTCTCTCTCTCTCTCTCTCTCTCTCAATTTAAAGTACATCTAAAAGAAACCGAACTTGTGTGACTTATCTCGAGATAGCTCACAATTTCTGAAGGAATTTTCCGGGAAAGATCCGCCTCGGATTCGTACGATGCGTCCCTGCTCACGTCGGCTCCCGGTTCTCGTCGGATCCCTGCGCTCTCTGTATGTATATTTAATAACATCTTTCTTTATTTCTCTATATCAATATTTCCCTTTTTCTCTTATTTTTCCCTTCCCTTTCCGCGCGGGAGTCCTTTATATTCGAGTCCCAAGGGTCGAGAAGAAATCGTCGCAGTTCACCGGAGCGAAGTGAGCTTACTCGCTCGTTCTTACTCTCCTCTCTTCGTAGAAGCTTTGGTAAAAGGATCCTTTTTTTTCTTCATTAATCGGTTATACGATACGTTAAAAGTAGATTTCACTTGATTTGACACATACGATTGAGGTTTCGAGCAAGTTTGTCTGCTGCTTAGCTCGCATCTCACAGCCTAGAGGTGATTTAAATCCAGCGCGGGAGCCCCATTTTCAATGGAGCGCGCCGCAAAAACGCCGCACTATAATACTCCGTCAAATGCCAAGCCCGCAGGTATACTTTTATCATTTTTTTTTTCTTCTTCCCTTACGATGTTACCTCGCGACAGCCGAGCGCGTCTGTCGCCCGAAATTTACACCCGAAGTTGCCCGCGGAACACGCAGCGACCGTATATCTTTTCGCGAGAGNCCCCCCCCCCCCCTCTCTCTCTCTCGATCCTCGACCGCAGAGAGGCGAAAGATACACCGAGAAAGATCCGAGAGAGCATCCGGAGAATTAACAATATCCCGACGATACCGCACGAGGCGAATATTCCGAGAAGTGGTCGCCGCGGGGTGAGATGCAAATACATCAGGAGGATGAAAAATCCCCCCTCCCCCCTCGCCGGGAAAAGAAGAACGCTCTCTCGTTACATGTGTCGCTGCGCGGGAAAACCTTCCCGACCGCATTCTAGGTACCCTTCTCCGCTGACCGATGATTGAAAGCGGTCACGACGCGCGCGTCGTGCCTTCGAGACGATTTCCGCTTTCACTCGCGGTCCGAACGAAATCTCTTAGGCTGGATCTACGGTGAGGCGCAGCACGCCTTTAGCCTCTGAACGATAAACTGCAATTTCCCGCAAGAAGTGTGTCTTCGGCGTTCGGCGTTGGGAAGCGCCTACCTGCCGGAAACTCGTACGCTCGGAACAAGAGGCCGAAGGCTCACTTCATCTACCGTAGATCTTACTCTACTACTTCGCAATGCGAGAATCCGGTTTACAGCCGTGACAACGTATTGTGCGCATTTCCGTCCGCTCGCGCTGAGTTTCGCGGGGGGTCACACTTGCACCGCTCTTCCGCCACAGCTCTCGTTTCCCTTTTTTTTTTTCTTTCTATTGTGCTTATGTATTTTTCCTTTTTAAGTTTTTCAATTTCCGTCCGCGTGTAAAATCGTCTCCTCGCGCCGGAGAAAGAATATCTAAAACGCGTTCGAAGCGCGCCGCTTATTTTTTTTCGCGAAGCGAGCGTAAACCGCGGGCGCCGGACGCGTCCCACTCGGTTACCAATACAACACACATGAGCCGAATAGAATGAGAGCGGTGTAAGTCGTGCGTGCGTGTATGTGTGTGTGTTTTCACTATGAAACTAAGGAGAACGAGGGATTGCGGAGCGGCTACGCGCGACCCGCTCCGCTTTCTCAAACTCTTGCCTCGCACCATTTTCATCCTTAACAGTTGGATATACATATGTATATATTCTCTTTATATATTTTTCACACATGTGTATACGTACACACACACACACACACACACACACGTCACATATATGTGTAATATATACATATGTGTATCACACTCATATGTATAGATGTATAGATGACATATATATTTATATATATATACGTGTGTGTGTGTGTGTGTGTGTGTGTGTATCACACACACATGCGTACGTTTGGTGTCCACGTGGTCATTGTGCATGTAAAGTATATATATATATATATATATACGACATAGTAAAATATTAAAGCGGCAGCAGAATACACTGCAATACTGTTCGATATCTGTGAAAAGGATGGTGGTGCCTCCTCCTCTCCTCGTTTCCTTCCTTTTCCTTTCGCTTCTTTCCTCTCTTATTCATCGGCCGCCTACGTATTTTTATGGCAAAGACCGCGCGGTCCTCCTCTCTTCCCCTTATACTTCTTTTATCTATGCGGTTTTATGTACAACGTGTGCTAACGACTTACCCCTCGTTAACAGTCCTCGTAATCGCAATAAACTTTCTCACATTTCAACATGTCTCGTATAAACTATGCAGTATGCCAATGTATCGAGTAAGATAATAAGTACACATAAAATATATGCAATCGGTAAGTAACGTAATAAAATTATAAAGTACATTGTGGTCGCAAACATCGTGGACGAGAGGGAAAGAAAGAGAGAGGAAGAGGATAATAATAATATACACACGTGTCTCCTATACGCGCGTGTTTTCGAGTTTATACACGCGTATCGCTCGCACGAATTCATCCCTCGAGCTTACGCTGCCGACGATCGCGAAAGAAACGGGGAGCGAAATCGGAACGTCTCCGTGTCGATTCGCGTCGCCTCTCTCATTTCTTTTTTTTCTTTCTTTTCGTTTCCTCGAAGTTTCCGGAATTTCGCGCGATTCTACGCTACCAGCTTAAAAAAGGACAAAGGTGAAGTGATTCGCGGGACACACGGGGATCCCCTCTCTCGTTCAATTAATCTTCATCGTCTACGACCAAGCGAGCCGGCGACCATCGATTCGCGAGCAACCGTACTTATAATGCGATATACACTTTCATATGGCGATCAACGTTTTTCATATACTGCTCCTTCTTCCCTCCTCTTCCTCTTCATCTTCTTCTCCTTCTTCTTCTTCTACAGTTTTCTCCTCTTTGTTATCTTCTCTAGCTACTGGTATTGCAGGACAGTGCACTTTACAATGAATAATGTGAATGTNGGGGGGGGGGGGAGGAGGATACCCCGGAACTGACGCGCCTTCGTTCCTTCCGGATAATGTCGATATGCTCTCCACGTCAACTCGGCGAGATACTGCCTCTAATTTGCACAATTGATCGGTTGATTGTCGCTTCGTTTAAAAAAATATCGTGATCTAATATCATATACTGGAATTCGTCAACGTCAACTGTGTTCACGACGAGCGCGCTCGTTCGCGCAAAACGCCGCGTCGTCGTCCAATCCGGTTACTGACTGACACTTGAAATGAAAATCGGAGAAGGAAAACTGTACATTTGTATTCTCGACATGAAAAATTTATCCGGATCCGCGTTCTGCCGCGGCTCTGTCTCGGGAAGTAATCGCTTTCCTGATCTCGGAATGATATACTTTCTGCGTTTCCGCGTGTTATCCGCGTTCGAAAGCGGAGAAAACGCGACAGTCCCGGCGCATCCTCTGTGTATGTGTACGTGTACGCGCGCGCGCGCGCGCGCATATGTGTGTGTGTATATATACACGCGGTGAGTTGCCGCGTAATCCTTAGTACAATATAACTTGTTTACGGACATCGATTAAGAGTAGCATATCGATAAATATTACGGTCGAACGCTAATACCGCAGTCGTTTCGATCTTCCCGATTCCCTCGACGGGGTTCTCGCGCGTGGTAGGAAACACGAAGAAAAGGGAAACACGGCGGATACGACGCGCTCGACGCTAATTCAATGTCGCGTCGCGGCGCGATTAATCTAAACATCCAAGTTACTTGGCCAATTTAGAAGACGAAAGTGAAGGCTACAGCGAGATCGGACCGTTTCCATCTTTGTATCGCCGTCGCAAGCTGAACGGCGATCGAAAGATGGAGGATACTTCGGCCGTTTTGGCGAGATGAAAGTGGCTAAAATTAGATTAACTTTTTGCCGCACCGTTGTCGCACCGATGTCGACAATGCAATTTCACGCCGTGTGTGTATGTGTGTGTGCCGATAATCTAAAAACACACGTCTACGTCCTCGTCGCTGCGGCGAGTCGGAGGATCGGAAGAAGGATCACCGACGTGCATCTCGCGTTCGCGGATTAACTAGTGTGTGTGTGTGTGTGTGTGTGTGCGCGCGTGTGTGTGTGTATTTATATAAGATAATACCTATCTAAATGGAGCGCGGCCGGAAATGGGGCCTACGCGCGGAACGTGACATGCACACGACACTTAATGCGATTAAAGTTTCACCGTTACGCTAAACGCTATTATCCTTCGATGAGATTCGGCAAGGACCGTCGTCGTCGTCGTTTTGGCATTGAGTCTTTCGGGTGCGCTCCTCCTCACGTCGCGATTCAACACTTGGTGTTATCAGTTAGTATGCGATAGTGGCATCTTGGACCTGTAGGCCTTAAAAGACGATACAAACGCGCGCGCGCGTGCCTCTGTGTATGTGTCTCTCTCTCTCTCTCTCTTTCTCTCTCTCTCTCTCTCTCTGTGTGTGTGTGTGTGTGTGTGGTGTGTGGGACTCACGTGTGCACGGAGTCTGTGCGCGTAGAGAGATTTCCGCGCGCGAGGTTGGAAAAAAGAGCGGGGCCTCGGCCCCCGGAGGAAATGCAATATTTACTCACAACGTACTCGCTTTTCTCCCTATTATCAAGTACACACACATAATCGATAATCAAAGTCGGCGCTACCCTAGGCTACCTTCTAAATTCATCTATCAAGCGATAAAATTATAATACATACGTACTACTTATTTTCTCTTCCCTATTAACGACAATGCGTGTAGAAAAATGAGCCTCTCGCGTCTTTGGTTAAACGCGAAGCATTTAGAAAGTAGTCTGGCAGTGGTTTCGTAGATGCTTCGATCTTAGCCTCGGACCAAATTTTGATTCGCCTCTCTCCTCCCCCGCCACCCCCACCTCCCCCGTTCACCCCGCNCCTCCCCCGTTCACCCCGCCCGCCCGTGTCCCTTCGCCGTGTTTTCCCCTCCGCTTCTTCCGTTCTCTCCTTCCCCTCGCATGTCGAACGTGTGATTTTTTTTTGTTCTCTTAGCTCTCGACTGCAAGGAATCGAATCGAAGTGACGTTTGAGTTTTGTTTTCTTTGTTTCGGGACGTGTCGTTGAGCTACGGTTAGTGTGTTCCGGCGATCTCCGAAGGGTGTTGTTTCTTTATCTAATCGCGATCGCAGTCCGGCGGCGAGAGCTCGGCTGAGCTTGTACAGAGAGTTGTCTGAAAGTTTGATCTGAACAGTCCCCGCTGCCGTGCGCGTCGTACGTCCGACACACGCGTCTACGTTCGGAAATTCAATCTAAAGGGAACTTATCCGCGTCGCTTCTCGTCGTCGTCGTTGACGATCGTTCGCCGTGGTCCGCGCGGTGAATCGGCCTCGATGACGATGCCTCGTCCTCCTTCGGTACCGACGCCGAACGACCGTCGTCGTCGTCGTTTTCGTCATCATCGTCACTGTCCTCCTCCTTCTCTTCTTTTTCTCAGATGACTCAGAGCGCGCGGCGCAAGTGACTGCGCAGACAATGGCACAAGAGCAGCGTGTTCCTTAGGGTGATGTCGTTTAGGTCACTGAGAAGTAAACTAGAGCTCTGCTTCAGCGAGGCAGCCGCTTCAATTCCCGACGGCTTCACACTTCACGAGTAAATGGTGATCACCTCCCGTCCGCTGCCCCGCACCATCAACACCCTCTCCAAGCCTTCGGTAAGTACTTCGAGGAATTCCATGTCTGACGGCCGACGGTTAAGGAAACTCTAAACAGCCTGACTCTCTTCTCATTTTCATCAAACATCTCTTTCCTATTCGCAATCTCCAAGTCGTTACCTCAAACCGCACGTCGGAATTCGAAAGGGGAAAACGACAAATCTGTTGCGCCCACCTAATGATATCGCTCGCGCAACAAATCCTCTATGTCGTGCTACAAGTTTCCGCGCTGAGCAAAAGGATACAGTTAGATTCACGCTCCATCTTCGTATCCCGCGGCGGCCCGGGAAGATTTAGAATGACCAGTTGAGCGTCATGGCTCTTGTTGACGATTACCTCGTTCAATTTCACCGAGGTGTGCATACGCCTCACGTCACCCTCGTCGCTGTTACAGAAACGTTCGTTAGAAAGTGACATCGGCGGGAGCGCGCGCGCCTCCGGCAGACAGGGAAACGATAATAGTACCTGTTCATTAATGTTCTATTAATTACGTTACTGGAATTCAATCAAGGGTCAGTTCATTCGTGGGGGATCGATTCGTCCGACAAATTCCTCGATAGGTGCGTAATAAACATTTCTGCATTCTCCCACAATAATAATTTATATAGGACGTCCCGGTTCTCGCGACTTTAATTTTACTGAGAGATTCCCCGAACGATTCAGACTTAATTTTTCCCTAGCGAAAATATCCGGGGAGGTCATTATTTCTAACAACTTTTCAGTCATCAAGGTATCTTTTTGATTGGGCCTCAAATTAAAATTCTGTCGAATTAAAGTCCGTTTGAAATAAATCGGGGAAAGTAATTTTGTTGTCCATTGGGTCGCTCGAAGCGTAGTTCGCGAAAAGTTCCACTTTTTCAATCGTATCGATTCGACTTTTCATTTCTGGCTGGATATATAATACATTATACCAAAGGGATTATTTTCCGTCAATAAATGGGCGCATAAATAAATAACTAAATAAATAAAAGGGAAAACCGGCCGATACTCACGGTGTGATCGTAGGTTTCTTAGCCTCTGGGCTCTCGTTTTCCTGCGCGTTCTCCATCGCCTCCTTCTCCGTGTTCTCTCTGTTCTCCGCCTTGGGCGAGCCGCCGATCAGCTTCGCCTCCTCGTCGTTGTTCTCCTTCACCTCGTCCTTCTCGTTGATCTCCTCGGCCTCCAGCTCCTTGTTGTTTAGGTCGGTATCGTGCATCAGCTTCTCCTTCGTGTCGTCGGTGATGTTCGTGTTCTGGCTGCCCGGCTCTTGGAATCGCACCTTCGTCGGCACCTTCGCGTCTACGTTGTGGTGATGGTCCACGATTGCCTGTACCTGTTGTGGGCAACGCGAGTGAGCGGTTCGTGCGACAAGCGTTCCAGGGGACAGTCGGTCAGAAGGCGACTAATTGTCTAGCATCTCAAAGCACTATGACCGCCAAGTAAATGCTGTCTATGTAAGCGTTCGAAAAGGAACGTGCCAATCAAGCCGTAACTGAGGGGCGCGGGAGTTGCCGAGCTGTCACGATAGACAAGGGGAGAGAAGCGTCGCAGGCGCACAAGAATAGAAAAAAAAAAACAACAGAAAGAAACAAATAGAGAATGACAAATAAAAAACAAAAAGAAAGAGAAAATTACCCCGATAGGCAAATTGTGGAAATACTGTATAATAATAGCATCATGAATTGACGAAAAATTTCACAATGGCCACGTTCAGCAGAATGTTCATTTTGCAACTGTTTAGAGTTTTCTGAACTGAGGTTGTTGCAGCATTTGCGGATAAAATATTTCAATCCATATTATTAAATTGATTAAATCTTCAGCAATTCAAATAAAAAAAAAATAGAGGAGAAGCTTTACGTGAATAGCATAAAAATATTTGAATAAACTTGGTATTTATTTACATTTATTTATCTATGTTTTAAAACCGACTGTTTCTTTTTAAAGCTCTGACATGAATGTGTAATATTTCATGTCGCGATGTTTTCAAATTATTATTTAGGAATAATTTTTCATTTTTACAAGAACATATATATATATATACGTAATATAATTTGATTTCTTCAGGTGCAATTATATTTCTTATATAATTAAATATTTCGAACATAATATAACTGAAATATTTTCCTCAATAATTTTACAGATATTCCGCTAAGATGATTCGTCATATCGCTGCTACTTAGCAAGATATTATTTAATTAAGATATTATTTAGAAATTAATCGGGCAAACAGTTACCAATATTTTATAAAAGAGATCATATTTCTCGCTAGACTTCGTCATATAAACGTTTTCCTATCGGGATAAAAAATCTGTCTTCGATCATGAAATTTGAAATTGCGAAAGTCTCGATTGCGAAATAGAAAACAGTTGATTGATACACGAGCGAATTTGCCGGGGTATTTTTACGCGGTGAGACAAAAAAGAGGAGAAAAAAAAAATGAGAGGATCGAAGAGTCCACGAGTGAATCCACGAATCGCAGCCCGCGACAGTTTCTCCCCTCCGCCTGGCGATATTATTCGTCGTACGTATGATCGGCGAGGAGAAATGCGACTGTTATGAGATCTCGTGGGAGAAGGTAAAAAGTGGTCGGTGCGACGGAGCGGCATGGGAGAGGCATGGGACTCCGGGGGTTATCTGACAAACCAGAGGTAATTTTTCCTCGGCGGGTACCTCGTTGAAGTCCACCAATGTCTGCACCTTATCCGCGACGAGCACGCAACAAACAGACACACACACCGATCAGTATCACCGTCACCAAGTTCGTTATAGCATTTGTGTATAGCATTTTTTAAAAATACATGTGTCTACGTGGTATGTACATAAGCTGATTCCCCCCCCCCCCC